TTCTTCGAGTGCTTGAACTTGGTCCTCAACTTCTTGTCTTAATTGCTGAACATCGGTTTTGACTTCAGCTTTTACTTCTTGAACGTCGTGTTTAACTTCTTGCACATCGTCTTTAACTTGTTCAATCTTCTGGTCTAGGTTAGCGACAGTTCCTTGTATGGTTTGGAATATTTTCTGTAGTCTTCCAAGGTCCTCCTGCCGTTCTTGTTGTCGCTTAGCTTCTTCTTGTTGTCGCCTAGCTTCTTCTTGTTGTCGCCTAGCTTGTTCTTCTTGTTTTTCTTGTTGTCGTCTGGCTTCTTCGTCTTGTTTTTCTTGTTGTCTTCTAGCCTCTTCTTGTTGTCGTCTAGCTTCTTCGTCTTGTTTTTCTTGTAGTCGTCTGGCTTCTTCGTCTTGTTTTTCTTGTAGTCGTCTGGTTTCTTCGTCCTGTTTTTCTTGTTGTCTTCTAGCTTCTTCGTCTTGTTTTTCTTGTTGTCGTCTGGCTTCTTCGTCTTGTTTTTCTTGTAGTCGTCTAGCTTCTTCGTTTTGTTTTTCTTGTTGTCGTTTGGTCTCTTGAAGTTCCAACATTTTGCGCAGAAGTTCTTCAACTTTTTGTTCGTCCATTTTGGCTTGTTGTCTTGTGATAGGCATATACAGAATGTTCTAGAATTTCCCTCGAACTTTCTTCAAATATCTTTTCTGGTCTTTGCTTGAAGTTCCAAACACGCCGGTGAAGTCACAAATTGGATAACTTGCTTTATTCTAGAATAGAATGTTCTGGAATTTTCTTGAAACTTCTTTTCTAGATGTCGATTGATACAGCAAATACGTCGGTGAAGTCACAATTTCGATATCTCCCTTAGTTTCCAAATAGAATTTTCTAGAACTCACTCGAAGATTCACTATCACAGTCTAAATCGGGTATAGAGTCACTTCTGGGATAATTCACACGATCGGTTGAGTCTCTTTTTGTGATTGTCACTGTTTGCACTGCACTAACTGTCCCAGTGTTCACTTAGTGTTCAGTTTTTATACTACACTAGTGTCCCCGCACTTCCGTAATTGGATTTCACTCTGCAGTCCTTTATATCTCACTCCTGACACCACTGTTACGGCTTTGGGTTGCCTGCTGACAAAAATCTTGGATTCGTCGTTCGTTTCGTTTATTTCAAAAATCAAAGTCCAATTAACACAGCAATAATTTATTCCACTTAACAAAACACTCTGACACTAATTACTTTACTAACTCAACAATTAAACTCTTTACAATCACTATTTAAATTATATCACAGTCGAACTGAAACTAACTTACAAACCAATGCCGGCCTTCTTATATATCCCTAAATCTATTCCTGTGAAATCTAGAATACACACGATAATCTAATTTTCCAGATTAAAGTAGAATAATTCGCTAGATTCTAGTATTTCCGCGATCGATTCTTGACAGCCTGGCGGACGTTTAGCTTATTGTGACAATATTCTATAGGTACTTGACTTGGCTTTAAGCCAGAAAACAATTCAATCAACAGCCAAAATTCACAAAATATTAGGCGTTATATTGAAAATATTATTGATTTAAATTAATTAAGTTTGCAAAAGAAAATCAAGTGGAAATGCATGAATGTGCATTGCTTTCAAGCTTACTGTGAAAAGTGCCTATTATCCACGAATTAGGTAAATCGTTCGATGTTCGATGAATTAATATTTAAATGATAATTACAGTAAAAACGGTCCCTTGTAATGCGCATATCTTCGGTTCACAGTAATTTAAATTATAAGTATTTCATTATAATGACTGGCTTATAAGGATGAAATTTCAATGTCATGAAATGTAAGGTAAACTTGATAAAATCTAAAAATATTCATTCATTATGGAACGGACTAACCTAGCAGTAGTAATTCTTGGAGTTTAAATCAGTAGCTTGCGTCGGTTTCCATTGAAAGAGAGCCTCTTGGTGTTGGCCTGAGTCAAGGCTTATCGGGCAATTCTGTTTTTCGAATAAGACCGCATTGTCCGAATTCCATTTTCTGGAAAGAGGGCCAAAGTCCACCAAAAGTAACGTAGGATTGAGACCACTGGCGGTTTGGTAGGTAGCCAGTAAGCTGTCAGCCCCAAATAGTAGAGCCTAATAGGACAATTATTTGTGATGGGTTCTGATGATTATCAAAATGCAGCGGTACAACTTATCTTGGATGCTGTATGGCCCTTTAAGGGTGAATTAAAACCGGGTTTGGGAAATTTCCCAAATAAACGGGCAGGATCACTGCTGACAATCTGAACAAGTCTACTGGGACAGAATTCCAAAATGCCCTTTAAAAAAAATCGGCCAAAATTTGCCACGAGGAATAAGCCATCCTTCTCAGCTAAGCAAATCCTTCCGTAAGAAAGAGCCCCTGAAGACAATAGTTAAACTTGAACCCAAAAAAAATAATTTTAAAAATGTCGCAGATGGGAGCGTTTTCTTTTTGAACCATAAGGTTGCCAAGAAATCAAGTTTTAAGAACCAAGCCCTACTCGGTGCACTATTTAGAGTATCTAGCTAGGGCGATCGGTGTACGATCCCAATACCGATTGCCGTAATCAAAAAAAAAAAATGAGAACCAAGGTACTCTGTCTGATAACTTATCATATGACCACAACCACAACATCTGATTTGTGATTATATTTACCTTTAATGACAGATTTCCAGTCAGTGGCAGTTCATACATGATTTTCTGGGTGGGGGGGGGGGGGGGGGTAATGGATGACGTGATCATCAAGTGTCACAACGTATTGCCGAATGGTCACCGCCGGAGACGAATTTTTTTTTGGGATGCCACGCCCAAATGTGCACCCGAAAGTCGTTTAAAAAACACGCCTCGGGCAAAATTGTATCCCGATGCCGTCAAAATAGTTATACAGGGTGTCCAGTTAGTGCGATATCGGACGATATCTCCTCACAGGGTGATGCAAGAAAGAAAATTAAATGACAAAGTTGTTCGATACTCAGGTGCATTAGTTAAAAATGTTTTTGAATATACAGGGTGCTCCGTAAATGTGGTATGCGACATAACTTTGTTATTTCAAATGGAACACCTTATATTATAGTACATCACCTAATGGATCGTTCTAAAAATCCTACATATTTTTTGTTAGGAATTACCTATACCTACTAAAACTCAACCGTTTTTGGAATATATTGAAATTTTCTCAAAAAATCACAGTTTGCATGTCAACAAAAACCAACATATTTCATTCAATTCATTCAAGATCATTTAAGCTAAATCTTTTACAGGTTGTTAGTGCATACTTACATTTACTTCATGCCGATGCTCCTATGAAAATCTGATAATATTCTATAGGGTATTATCGCAAAACTGTACACAAAAAGAGACGTTTCAAACAACCATAGCTATTTTTTTTTTCAATTGGAGTAGGTACCCTTTATTTCACTGTATAGTCGGTGTGAGCCTATCATATTTATACAATGTTTTACTTTGTAGAATTTGTCTTTTGTTGAAATTTTGTTGTAATTAATAAATTTATAGAAAAAAATATTTGTCTGGGGGGGGGGGGGGGGTGAATACGCCCTCTATCCTATTTGATGTTTTTTTCTCTAAAGCTAAACTAATTTTAGGCACGGACGGTATGAAACCGTAACACTTTATACATGGTTATAAAGTATGTGGGGGTGTAACGCTGTCGAATTTACGTTTTGTTGAAGAAATTATGCACAATCTGTTAACACCGCATGTGAGGTCCTAGAGGATGACTGTCCAAGTACTAATTCTCAACCGCCTAGGGCTTAAAATAAGGGAGATAGCCCTTAAACCAATATAAGACCGACTTCTGATCCTGCCCAACACCGATCATGACATTTAATTATTGATCAGTCCCACATAAATTAGATTCAAGTAAAGAACAGTGTTTTTCGAAGGAGGTATATACTATAGACAGACCCCGCCTCGTGAGTTAGTTGTATATAAAATAGCGCGATAGGAAGATCTAAGATGAAGCAATCAAAGAAGTGTGTGTCATATCGTGTCGAAAATAAAGTGTGAAAAGTATTTCAAGTGTACAATGTATTTGATAGAAATATTTGATTTAAATTTAAGACAATGCCTAAACGTAAAAGAGGAGGAGATCTTGCCAGTTCTAAAGCAAAACGTCGAGAACAAAAAGAACAGCGCATAAACGAAACAGTGGAAGAGAGCGAAGTACGTTTACGTTCCCAACCAACGAGAATGAGCACCGTGAAAATGCAGGAAAACCGAAGAACAACGAAATGAACGGAGTGAAGAATCAAGAATTGTAACACATTCTTATAATTTATAATAAAAGAATGCAAACGCAAGCCACCCACGAAAATATCCCTCTACGAGAAGCGCGAACGAGGATAAGTAAACAGTACAACCTAACAAATAAAGCATTCCACTACGACTCGACGAAAGAATATAACGAACACAAACACGTCATAATCGGAAAACTGGATAACATCTGCCAATTTTGCAACGCGACAAAATTCAGTAGAGAAACAGCAGACATCTGTTGTATTACCAACGAAGACTATGCATTTCTAAAGTATATTTCATCGGAAATGAAGAAAGAGAAATTGATCTACGATGCACAAACATCAGTGGATTGAGACGAGAAATAATCTTACACAAATACATTCAACTTATTCTCTTATTCAAAACAGCATTAGACCTGATGACTATAAAGTCCTAGGTTAACCAGCTTAATTATGCCCTGTCTTTTGTCGATTTGCAATAAACTCGTTATTGAATTCATCTACAGTGTGTTATCTTTTGTAGAGTTCTAGAATGATACAAATTTATCTGCTTATAATCGCGCCCACTCGACATAACATAGAAAATGGGTTTAGGAAGATGTTGAGTTTCAGGGTTGCAAAAATAGTATGATTTATTCTAAAACATACATTGAATTACCTCCATTCGATGTAATTCACACACTGCCAAGAATTTAACACAAAGTTTTCACCGTCTTAGCTTTAATGAGGCATTAATTTTTATTTTTATTTCAGTTATTTAGAAATTTACAATGAAAAAGTTGCGGATTTACTTGGCGACAACACCGAAAAGAAGAGTCAGTGTCAAGACAGGCCTCTAAAAGTTAGGGAACATCCAAAGAAAGGCCCATATGTTGAAGGTAAGTATAAACTCACTGCAATAACATTAATTTCAAATCAAACTCTCCGTTTTCTGTTTTGTGCAATTTGTTTCCAAAGTTTTTGGTTTGTCTGTTAGTGAAGTGCATTGGTTCTTCCAGAAGTCAGAGTATATACTACAGAAATAGTTATTGTATGAAAACTTGACCTTGAAACTTGAAAAAAAAGAATTGTCGTAGATTAATTCATATGACACATTCAATTTTTTGACAAATTAAAATGATTTACTTCTGGTTTAAGAACCGACGAGCATTTTTGACGTCATTGATTTGTTTCAGTGAATTTTGCTGGTGGCAAGTACAAACCCTGAACCCTGGCGAAACAAACTTTACCTTCCTATAGCATTTAAAATTAATATTTCAAGTACGGAACTTTTAGAAAACAGTGGCGTGATCTTCTAGCAAAACCAATTAAAAGCGAATACAAATTGACAGCTGATTTCCTCCGTAATGAGCAATTTTAAAAATTGTATTTCAAATCTTACTGAAACATACCAAAACAGGTAATTAGGCCAGCGAGTCGAGGACAAATCCGATCTTGCACGCCTCTTTACGATACCCAAGAATTGGGAACTTTTTTCAAAACATTACAAAAGTTAAGCAAGTTTCTAGAGCCACTTTTTCTTTTTTTGGGCCTTTATAAACAAACTTTGCGCTTGCCTTGTAACTGAAGGTCGACTTTCCATCCAATCGCATCTTCATTTTCATCGCTGATCAGTTGAAATTTGTCTCTAGACATTCATCAAAATAATGTATAAATTGAAAGATTAACGATGCCATTTTCTTCTGCGATCTTGGCGACTAAACATTATTTCAATTCGTTTTTCTTTTTTCTTCAACAATCATCGAAATATAATAATTAGTGGTCCAATTATGTTAATCTGTGGACTGATGTAGTTCTGATTTTCCTGTTTCCAAAGAGCAGCTGATTTTTCCACACAAAATTTCTTCCTTGATCTGTGAAAAGTCTCATTGAGAAAATCAGATTTTGGAGGGAAAATTGGATTTTCTTTCAGTGAGTTGATATAGCTCGATCAAACAAACCCTGACTTCTCATATTACTGTATTATTTTGATATCAGTAACTGTGAAATAATATGATTTTTTTTTCCAGGTTTATCTCAGCACGTCGTCACCACCGATACTGAACTCTTGGAACGCCTAGAAGCAGGTACCAGTAAACGTCGCGTAGGGTCCACCACAACAAATCCGAAATCGAGCAGGAGTCACTCGGTATTTTCCGTTTCTTGTGACGGAGTCAAACTCCATTTGGTGGATTTAGCTGGCAACGAAAGGGCCGGAAGCAGAGGATATGGACCTAGCAGGTTCCGCGAAGGAGCTAATATTAATAAAAGTTTGGTGGCGTTAGGCAATGTTATATCGACGTTAGGTAAGAGTTGAATTTAAAAAATTTGTTTGCTTGAAAGTGGTTGGTTGCGATTAAATGCTATTGAATTTCCATAAAATCTTAGCAAAATTAGAAGGGATTACTCCTTAAGCAGTTAAAAGCGAGTCTTCAAAAGTGAAAGGGCAGCTAAATAATACTTAGATCTACCTTGCATTTTCACAAATCGCGAGATTCTGAGCAGCTTAATTTGGCTATCTTGAATGTTTCAATAATCTTGGAAAACCCCTTCTATTGGGCTCTAAAAGAAAAAAACTAAGGTCAGCATTACACAGCATTATTAAGCAAGGTCACACAACAGTTATATTTTATTCACTCGGTTTTCCATGGTTTCGTCTTCTGGAGACTTATTATTAATGGTAAAAGTTTCTTGGGTGTGTTCTCTTTCCACACTTTCTCTAATTAGTGCAGCTACAAATGCTGGAATTTAGCAATAACTTCAACATTGCAGGAAAATGTGGTAGTGCAGATAAGATCAAACCGACCTTCGAGAAATTTATTTGAATCGTGAATTCTCTAACAATACATTCACCAAAAAGTCAAGCTGCGACATTGTGTCGTTCTTGCTATATCAAAAACAACAAGCATTTTATGATGTTCTCTATGAACTTGTTGCATCATAAGAAAATGCTTGTTTTGAAAAACTTTTTAGGAATAATATCTAGAATATTGATGAAAAATCAAATGACTCTTCTATAGGTACAGATGCTCACTCATTCAAATTATTCCGGTTCCAAAGTAAAATATTTTATATTTGTGATGGGGATACCATTTAAGACATTGAAGTTGATAACCGTACAGCTGTTCTTGGAACACCCTGTATAAAAAAAATTAGGTATGTGAAAAAATCTTAAGCAAAAAATCTTAATCGACGTGTTTTTGCGTTTTGTCCACATATTTCATCCGAAGGCTCTAGCGAATTAGTTCCAGTTAAAGTCCCCACCCTGTATATATTTTAATTCAAAAACGTTAAACTCTAAGTTCTCCTTTGTAATTGTTTCAGCTGATGATGAGATTCTTTTAATCCCGAAACATGTCCTAGTACCTTTCCAACAAAGAAAAAAATAAAAATGAGTGGAGAAGACAAAGACTGAAGTTTTCTTTTTGTAAAAGCAGTTGAGTCTGTTACTGAAAAATAATTCAGTTACAATTATTCTTATTATAACAAAAAATAGGCAACCTACCTAATCCCAAAGTAGACAAAAATTGATTACATCAAACGTTTCTTAAAAAAGTTATTGTATAGGTAATAAGGTAATAATAGAGCACATCAATTTCTATAAAAGTATTCTTGTGAAATAACATTGACACGGACAAGCGGACCAGCGAACGTGACTTTGCACGACCGGTGCTGGAATATTCAAAAATTTGTCTTCATTGTATTCATTGAGTAAACAAAAATTTACGTGGATTCTAGAAATTTCTGGGGTTGATTGATTTTGTATATAATGCGCGTGGTATGTGAGTTATCATTCAAAGTCTTCATTTAAAGAGGCGACTTTTGGGTTCATTCCAAGAAGAAAACTTCATGTGAACGTATGTCCTAAACTTGTTGAGTTTTCAGGGGTCATAAAGTTTTCAAAAATAAATCAATCAAGAGATATTTTTTCACTGTACCGCATTTTTTTAAATTTTCACGAGTGGCGTTCGTACGAAATTCTGGAAGAAATACGAAAGGGTTTCAGAAGCAATCAAGGGAACTGGAAAAGGGCATTGAATGTGACCGCTGCGATAGAAAGGAACATCTAAAACGTGACTGCTAGGATTTCGCTCTCCTTCTGGTGACTCTTGTAGCAATTATTTTTCTGATTCCGGAAAACAACCACTAAACATATAAGCACGGCAGCTGTTTATCAGTGGCATTGGGAAATGGGTTCAGATATTTGCTTGATTTTGACCTTCCATTTGGACGCCACTAATTTTTTTAAAAGTGAGGGACTACTTACATAATTATTACAGTTTAAATGATGTTGAAATGTCAAATAAGAAAAAAAATTAGAAAAACTTAAGTTGAAAAGTACCTGAAACTGTGACCTGAAAATAAGAAAGATTTCCTAAACAAATATTCAAAACTCCCCAAAAATGAAACTTTATTTTCCTGGATGACAGAAGAAACACACTGTACACTGTACAATTACACCGGTATAATATTATAGCATTTTGTAATAATTAAAGTTATATACCTAAATATAGATAAATAAATCAATATTTCAGAAACTAAAAAATATAAGAAAATGTTTAAAGTTTGAAGCATAATTTTTGTTTGGATTTTCACTGAGGTGCCTTAATCTCTAGCAAACCTGTTAGATTGTCTGTGTATCCATAAAGTCCCAAATCTGGCTTATTGGGCTCTGGACAAATTCGAAACTGGATATATTTGGGTAAGATGTAGAGATCAATTGGGCGCAAAGTGGACCAGAACTGCAACTCGGACCAGTTGGTACTTGCACGGGTTGGATCTTCATTAAAAAATTTGGAGACATTTTCTCCTTGGGCTTGACTCTGAACTTAGACTTGGATCTGAATTTGGACTTGGATTTGGACCCTCCAATAAATTAGGAAATGAAAATTCCAAAGCGAACATCAGAAGCAATTTAATGCCAATCGATAGCAAAACTGGATAATCAAAAATGGATCTATAAAGATAAAAAACCATTAGGAGATGTTAAATTCATACCACGAGGCACGTGCAACTTACGCGAAGTAATCATCCCAAATAACTCATAAAATCGCTTGAGAACCATAAATCTGGAAACTGGATCTACTGATGAGCTCACAAAATATATTGTCGCCTACGCCAACTTCTACAAATCTTGATAAAAATCAAAAGGGCGATACGGACGGATTTAAGAGTTTTCAAAGCTCTTGACAAAAAATCCGTGACCACTGGTAACAAAACGAAACTTCCCGGCTCCAACCATGAACCATGTTCAAGGCGGTGGGAGGACCACCAAAAGTATGCGTTGAATGGTGACAAGGCCAGCCGTAATTTAAAATGGGCCAAATACCAGGATTGGATTTAACTTTAATGGGAAAATAGAAAAATTTGGAAGTGGGTGAGCAAAGAGAACCTTCACAATAGCGTAATCTTAATTAGTTTTGGGATAGATACAGGTAAGTTTTCATATCATAAAATTAATCAGTGATTTATCTCATTTTTCGTTTTTTTTTTTTTTTTCTATTTTTAGGTTCTTGTAGAAACCCAAAAGAAAACAGAAGTTTATGCCGGAGATTTCCCAACCAGAATTTACATCAGTTGCCAAGACAAACAGAATGTTTATTTAATAATTTATTTAATTATAATTAATAAACATTTTCAAAACTAAAATTGATTGTTTTACTATTTGTTCCAAAATTGTAGTATTTTATATGAATTTAAATTAGAGGAAGATAAAAATACTACACTCTCAGCCTTTAAACGAGAACCAGGTATTCTACAATTAGTCAACACAGAGAGGTGGGTGTTGGTTAGTGCAAGTGAAGCATCCAGAATCATATCCATCAAAATGCTAGAAAGGACTGCGAACAGTTTGACTATTAAAGGAAAAATTAATGGAAAGAATTTCATAATAATAGTGAACACTCTCTACTAAATTCCAACATTGCCAAAAATTTCAGTGCAAAGCCACTTTCAAGGGAAGTTATTCTGCGCACAGTGACTGGAGAGACAGCAAATTTGCATAGAGAAACAGAAATCGACATGAGATTAGGTAATATCAAGATCTTGTGACGATTTCAAGGTGGATGATTCTATTTGATTCAAGATGAATCAAATACACTTATAACTAACAGCAGCCAGCTTGGCCCAAGGCACAATTAAAATTTCCATACTGGACCATTCGATCCTCGGTGTTTCTTATTTCCACAAACAACATAGTTCATTCCACCCCGAATCTCTAAGTTCCATCGCGCTTTATGGAGTGGCCACTGACGATATTGGTTGACTTCTGAGCCCAGGGTTTCGAGAACAATTTAAAAAGGTATTTTGCAGTAATTTATTATCAGTAATTTAGCAGAAGCTATAACTGGTCACTCGGATAGGAAACTTTGCCTTGAATGTTTCATTGTTGTACATTTCGTTATATACGGGGTGATTTACGTTGCCCGGGCATTCGCTTGCAGGTGGATTAGGTCCACCTACAAACTGGACAACTTCTAATGCACGGACGGGCTACGTAAATCACGGTGTATGCATATATGTTTAGTTTCAAGTTGTTGCAGTGTGGAAATTGTTCAGGAAGTTCTCACTGTGTGCATTTGCAGCATTCAAGTCAAACATAAAAATTTAAAAAAAAATGCCTTATTGATTGAATCAATTTATGTCATAAAATTTATTCCCGTAGTTGTTACAATAATTAATAATTGTTTAGAAATTATTGTTCAAGATTCTATTAACTTCCACGAGTTCCACGTACCTACCCCTTGGAATCGTCACAATCTGTCACATAGTTCTGATCGCTGATATAGAAGATGAGTTTATTTTTGGTATGGATGTGATTAGTCAACATGGTTTTACATTCGATAATCACCTCAACATCCTGAAATTTGCCACTGAAGAGTTTGTACCAACCCAAGGGTTTGAAGTCGGTCACCGCAAGAGGTATTAAAACTACAGGGTGTCCTTAGATAAACTGACACATTTTACAGGTGAATATCTCGAAAACGAGAAAAGATAACGCGATGCGGTTTGATCCGGAAGAATAACGATTTTTTAAAGTTTTTTTTTCATGGTGTAAACGAATCCTGAAATTTGGTTTTACAGACATTCGATTTTTTGAAATATTTACATACTGCCTTATTCTTGATGAAACTGCCGGTATATTTTGTCATCGTCAGAAAGCGTGACTTTTCTACTTCACAAAAATGTATAATTTTTTTCAATTATCATGAAATTGAATTGTGAAAATTGCACTTTGTTGAAGAGTGTACCATCGACTGGCCAAAAAAAATGATAGTAATTATTTTGTATTTTATATGCACTTATT